TAAGTTATTAATGATGATCGGAGAATCGTACACGGAGGGAAAACTCGTCCGGCGACTGGGTCGTAACGTTGTGTTACGGTCCGGGGGCGGTTGCATGGAAGCAATAGGCATAATCGAATGTACATTGAGTTCAACAACGGTAACACGCACTCCGACGTTTAAACGATTAATGCGCGCACGGTTCAAAAGGATTCGCAATTTCAAACGAGCTGAACATGCCGCAAAGGGGGGGGGGGATCCGACGCACACCTTATCGGTCCAAAGTTTCCTACGCCTACGTTTCGTCCGTAAACCGTTACAAGCGTACGAGTGCGGTGACATAGCGCATTAACGCGCGGGTCGATACGCTTTCCGTACGTCGACGGATTTGAAATGTTTAACGGGCAGCGGAGAACCCTGAAGGTTCGAGTGATGGACGCTGAAGAAAATCATCGCGGTGCCGACAGCGATTTACTGATGATGCGTGAAAAAAGAAAGGAAAAAATCGTTCGCGAAACGATTCCGCGGCTTCGGCCGGGATTCGTGCACGTGCAAAGTATCGGCTCACGTCGTCAGTTGTGCCCTGACGAGCCCCGGTCGCCGAAAAAAACGAGACGTGATACCGCGCGGGCCGCGGCTCGACCGTCGTCCGACCGTGTTCGCGGCCGGGCCACCGCCGAAACTGCACGAACACGCTTCGGTGGCCGACACCGCGACATCGATCCGGTCCGGGGGGGCCCCCGCGCGCGTTAACGGCATCCCATTAACGCGCGCGGGGCTCACGCCGTCGTCGCTGCTTTTCGGATCTCTATACAACTCGTCCCACCCACCGCCTGCGCCCGTACCGGCCACACTTCCTGTGCACACAAGCTCACGCGCACGACACCGTGTCCGCGGGACACGCAGTCTTATCCAAACGATATTTTATCGTATTTAATATCGGCGTTACTATTGCGGCATCCGACACTTCGCGTTCCGCTGCAACGTTGTTTCCGAAGTTCAACGAAAGACCGCGGTCGTCCAATTACGATTTATTTGTTTCATTTTTTTTTTATTTCGTTTCGTAGCGTCCATTGAAATCGACACAAATAATCCGTTACGTTTTAATAATATTATACAGCTCCAACACGGAATAGTATACATTTGGTAAAAAAAAAAAAAAAAACATTTACACTATCATGGGTGTTAGGGTGCGAGTAAAAGTTCCACCAAACATAATTACCTATGCATGGGTGGTGTACACAAAATTTTCTATACATTGTTAAATCTCACAAACCTGACGTATTGTATAACACTCATTCCATCGACCTCGTACTTCATTTCCAGACGAGAAAAATGTCATTCATTAAGTGCATCGACGCCACTCCGATCGGCGTAAGAGAACTCACCACACATTTCTTGAAAATGTATTATTTTCCATAACGAACCGTGATCGCTATTGAAAATTGAATAAAATCTATTGCCACAAACATATCCGTAGACATCAGCAAGATTACAATTTATTTTGATCAATGGACAAAAAAAATTTTCTCATTGTCCCCGCCGTGTTCGTGTCGCCGGTAAATGATATGTTAGGGTCGACGCGCCTTTTATAAATTCGATCCCACAGAATGCAATTCAGAAATTTTCAATACAATGTATTATTTTGATTTTTAACAATGTCTTCCCAGACGTGATTAATAAAAGAGGGTGAATTCTAATGCGGGTCGAAGGCCGACCCATATTTTAGATTTTCAAGATTAAAACGGAAAATAATAAACGTACACAATATATAAATTATATCGCATTATTATCATATTACATGTTTAGTAACAAGAGTTTTATTGGTCTATGATAACAGATAAAAGAATTAAGTGTTCATAAGAAATACATAATATATCATGTTTGCCAACGTCTGGGCCCGATGATAAGTTTTTTTTTTTTTTTTTTAACACACATTAATGTTTAAACAACGTACAAAGTGGCAATCTATTGCTACAAGTTGCAATAAAGTAATTGATATATAAAAATACCGAGTTTTAAACTCGAAATAGTCAGCAATGCGATTATAATGATGAAAATGTAGACATTAAGCGTCAATTTTAATTTAATTAATTAAAACAATAACATTTGTACAATCATAAAGTCCTATAAAGACCTATTCAAAAATATAAATCGTCATTTATCGAAAATGCTACCAACATTCCATTTCAGTATAATTATTACACACTTATATTATTATTATGTAGTATTTAAAAAGATATTGTTAATTCAAAGAATATCGACGATTAAAATAGTTGTAATCTATAACTAGATAGTGGTCAAATGTCACGGTAATTATTTTACTAGACTGTCTGCTACTGATGATACAACAATTTTATTCCGTTAAACATTTTTATTAGATAAATGTCACGAATCATAATTCTACAACTATCCAATGTTGATTTCAAGAATGAGTAAAAAATATTAAAAATAATTATAACTAATATCGCTTAAAGTAAAGACACACACTTAAATTTTAATGATATTAAAATAAATTAATATAAACAAACTTACAACCACTGTTTAATTAAAAAACCTTTAAAATTAAAATTTAAAAAAAAAAAATGAATTTTTAAACTATTAAGTTCAATTGCAACTATGTTAGTCTTCTTCTGCAGAAACGCAGACAAAACTTTACTTTTCTGTTCACATATATACTTAAATATGGTATATATACTATAACATTATTCGTTGATTTCGACATTCAAAGAATTTCATTGCCGGGAGAAATGTTCCAAAAAACTTTTATCAAAAATAACTCAATGTTTTTGTGAATTCGTTAAGAACGGCTTATAAAAGCTTAGTTGACAAAACATTATAGAGTTCAACTGCCAAAGTGCCTACCATAATTTAAATGCGAAAAAAATTATACATTTTACAACACTCATTTATCTAAAATTACAATTTTTAATAATTTGGCCGTCTTAAATTTTGTATCTCAGGAACCGCCATGTGATTGTGTTTCCTTAAGAATAATAACTAGGGAACGGATTTATGTGCAAATTCATATACGTATTGAATTAAGTTTTTCGAAAATTCATGTGAAACGTCCCCGATTAAGATCATTCATATTAAAATAATCTTATTAATTAATATATAACATATTTTGCATACTTCATACATATTTGTAGTTTTTTAGCGAATATTTTTATTTATAGCACATATATTTTTTTTACGTAATATTTTCACATTCACATCCACAAGATAAAATCAAGACCAATCGCTATAGACAAAAATAAATTGACATACGAGTATATGCAAATTATGTTAATATAGATAAATTTATATTATGGAGTTAGAAATTGAACACTTGAACTTGACGGAATAACGAAAACCGATCAGTCAGTGCGTGCATTTTGTGCGTATATTTTTACGTGTACAACTTTCCCAGTTTTTTTGTCTAGTGATTTTTTTTTATTATTCGTTCGTAACTTAAAAATGCCTAATATAAAAATACTAATTAAGAGTCCATTACAGACATACGTAAACGAGCATAAAGACATTTTTTAAACCGATAGTTCAATTTAATATTACAATATTTGTGACATTTTTATATGATTTAAACGATAATATTTTTGATTTATTTATAAATGCATATTTTGTAGCATATTACAGAATTTTTATGTACATATTTTGAGGATGTCTTGTGCATATAAATCCGTTACCTAATCATAACATTTTGTACAACCAGTGACTCTGATGACAACAGTCATAGTGTTAAATGAATCACAAACACGCATACACACACGCACATAAAAATAATAATGCTACACTTATGGCGTTTAAAAATGTTGTATATGTTAAATCAAAAACGCTGACGTGGAAAAAAGAAGTAACGCAAAAACAGCCAATCTGTTTTCACCAACAATCTATCAATATCCGAAAGGCTTTCGATCATCGAGTTTTTTTTTTATTTTTTGTTTATACATTTTTTGCCAGTATTATCATCATAAGAAAAAAAATGGTCCAGTACATTTTAAAATTGGCTACAGAAACCTATTGCATATGCGTACCAATACGATGTTTATTTTAACAATTCGTACACGGTCACGAAATCGTAAAAAATTCCACGAGTAATTATAAATATAATTCGATAAGATTAACGAGTCCCGATCAAAGAACAGTAGTAACAGCTGAAAAAATTATTCAAACGCGTACATTCAATATTCCGCGTAAAAATGTAATTACTAGAGCATTCGTAAGTAGGCACGACTCGGCACGGCACGTGTTGACGGACGTGAGCCGATAGGAATAATGCGCCAAAACTGTGAACGACGATAAACAATTTGAAATTTAAGCCAGATAAAAAATACGCGACGATAATTTTACGAACACGACTACAATTGTAACACGATAAGATATTATAAAATTATAATCAGAAGAAGTCTTATTAGGACACGGGAAAAACGTAATCTGTCCAAAATGTTGAGCATTACGTGCATTCGTCGGGCGTCCCGAGCGGGTGTCACTGTTTGCCCTCCGAAGCGAAAAAAAATAAAAAATAAAACCTCGGTTTACTGACTTTCAAACTTTTTCCAAACCGTCGCAACACCTAACGCTCTAGCCAATAGCTCCGGTAGTACGCGCAGCGCGCAAATATGTGTTGTTACAACATTTCTCTCGAAACACGTACACCGTACACCGTCGTGGCACGGAATGCGCGTGCAAGCGAGTACCACCTACAATCTACATGTTGATTCCGTTGTTGTACGTTGGACGGTCGATAAGTATCGACGGGTTTAGCCGTGTTCTACCATTAAAACTGTTATTATCATTATTGTTCTATACTGTTACGTAAGAACGCAGCGCACGTGCTACAACGTGGTGGTGGTGGTGGACGCACTCGGCGACGACGAAAACAACGCGTTACGTGTTCGGGGGTTCAAGTACTCGGAGACGTTGGTCGTGTTCAAAACGCTTTTGGCGGGTAACAGATATCGCGTAACGGACACGAACGCGGATCCGTCGTAACCGACGTTATTATCGTTCGATTCGTTTACCTGTTGCCAATGGTCCTCGAGTGATACGTGCGCGGAGAAATAACCGGTATCGTGTATGTCCTGGAGTTCTCGGAATATGTTGCCGCTCGGTAACACGTCCATGGTCGTCGTCGGAAAGCGCGTCCGAACTTGGAGAAGTTCTTGTCGACGGGCGGCGTCTGCGGCGGGCGTCGATAACGCGAGCTTTTCAACGGTCTGCGCGACGCGAGCGTGTAAGTTCACTGTATTGTATTTCAGTGTTGTATCGCAAAATAATAATAATAATAACACGTATTACACGTATTTTATTACGTTACGCGATTCGAACTTTGTAAATGTCGAGTACACCGAAATGCGTTCGCGTTAGATCACCAGAAAAACGTTCATCGTCGCGTCGACGATTATTATGGTAGAAATATTTGTTGATTTTTTTTTTTTCACTTTTCACGGGACCCGGTTCGGCGGAAATCGAGAACAGATTTTTTTTTTTTTTTTTAATTATTTTTACTATTGTTATTATTATATTATATCGCTCGGATAAAAATCTTCACACACACACACACACACACACACGTGCACGCACTCATAAACACACATACGCGCGCACAACGCACGCACACACGCCGCGTACCGTACGTACTCGACTCGGCGAACCGATTTTAATAATTATTATTGAACTACGCGAACGAAATGAACGCGTACGGTCGCGGTAACGGATAAAATTTCAAAACGGTCGTGGCGCGGATCGAGTCGACGACGGTAGTGAAAAAGAAAAAATTCACACGCAACGGGTAACGATTCACGACGTTACGGAAGCGGCAAGTGGTGGCCCGTGTTCTCGCTCGCGACTGAACACTGTAATTTTGCCGGTGCCGGCGCGGCGAGTGTACCCGTTCGCGCGCCACACGAATACGATATTCGATTGTGCGTGGAGACCGGGCGCGCGCGCGGCCTCCGCCGACCGCGCCATCTGTCGGCCGCCTCGACGGTTCGACTTCGTTTCGCCGCTACCGCCGCCGGGATCTTTCGGAAAAAAAAAAACCCAAGAGTCTCGCGAACGCGCGCACGCGCCATTACTTCTTCGCGCTACGACACGTCGTGGAACCGACGACGCATGATAAATCGTATCGAAGCGGTCGCGCGATCGGTTTCGTTATCAATGATCGTCAGCAATCGTGTCTGTTCCACCGCGTGCGGTCGAGGAGAACGCACGTCGACCGTGTTCGAAGGGTTGACGATCGCGCGACGATGCACCGACGACCGCGATCAATAGGTCCGATATTGTTCGCTTGTTCGCGGGAAAACACCCCGCGCGAACCGGTTACCGATATTTGGAGCGACCGTGCGTGAACGTCAAAAATCGTCGGAGGCTAACCTAACCGTTTTGCGTACACCCAACGACGACACTAGGGTGGATCACTTTTGTACGGCAAAAAAATAGATGTATTAATTCCAATTAGCAATTGAAAAGGTGCCGATTGACGTCTATAATCCACTTATAAAAATTTGGTATCAATACAATATCGTTTTTTGTCTCAGGTACAGTCTTGAAAATTCGCGGTATAAAAAGAGTTTAAATATTTTTCTTTAAAAATATGGAATCATGTTTTAAATATTTAGAACATTATTTATGTGATAAAATACAATCGTAATTATTATTCGTCATTATTGATAAAAAAAAAAAAATAATAACAAAATAATAATTATAAGTTTTAATGGTTTTAAAATGTTTCTTACTGTCAAATTTCGGCACTTATTTTCGTGACTCTATTTGTGCTTTAATAAAACTCTTTTTTATCGGATTTACTGCACAAAGTGATTGAAGCTTCTTTACAGTCTTGACGGCTCTTCCGACTGCTTGTGTATGACATGGCAAACGTAGCAAACATATATCACCTTTTTGTTCGTTAAGCAATTGAATATTTTCATCGGGTATTGTTTTTAAATTTAATGGTTCAGTGATATTTTGTTGCCAATCAATAAAATCGATGTAAGATGATGTATTCAAATTTATACGTGAAAGTTTGGAAAATCTGGCTATTTTTGTTTTTGTATTGCGGGATTTCAAATTACGACGATCAGCTAATTCTCCAATATGTTGATGTGGTTCTGTCAACATTCAACGTAATACATTCTCTGGATGACCAAAATAATTGTTTTTTTGTATTACATGATCTATAATAGTTCTGAATTCAGTTGTTAACTATCTAGACGTAGAGGTAAGCTTACACAGGTGAAGTGCTCCATCTTTACATGTAAGATCACTAAATGTAGACAAAATTAAAATATTGAGCTTTTTTATACTTTCTTTTTGAAAATTTCACGGCAATTTTTTTCTCGTCATCTTTCTTCAAATAGTATTTCTAATTTGATTTGTCATGTCAATGTCTATACAGGTCCTATTACCATCTTCCTCGATGTACGTTGATCGATTAAAAAGCTCTGTTCCCTCTTTGATATTTCTTTTATTCTTGGACAAATACAATTTTTGATATCTTTACATTTACATATTGAAATATTCAACAAAGCAGCTTTACTATTGCTACCAAACTCTATTCATTTTTTATCTGGTAATATAGGATGAGATTTAAGTAGATTCTTGCATTTTAAATTATATGTTTTTAACATATCTTTTACTCGCCGACAATAATCTTTCGTTGATATAATTTTTATGACATTTGCGTATCGCAAAGATAAAATCCAAGTGTACCGTTTAGATTTTTGATTTAAATTTTTTTTCTGCTATTACAACTGTAATTATATTAAATTATTAAGGTGCGTATACATGTGCGAGCTGAACCTACCGTGAACATGCCACGTACACACTTGTGATCCGCTCGCGAACCAATACCGACAACAAACCAACTTGTACCGGGCTCGCAAGAGGTTCGTCAAAAAAACCGACTATCGACGGATCGGCATGAACGGTTCGCGAATGCTTCAAAAGGCTCGTTGGACGTTCGCCACACCGACTCAATTATTGTCGCTATCGATTCGTGAGCGGTTCGCGGTGGGTTCGGCTCGCACGTGTATACGCGCCTTAAGATAATATACGTAAAAGCTTCGTTTAGACAGTAAACAGATTATTTTTTCCCGATCAAATATAAGTGTTAAAAACTTGAAACTTTGACTACAATCCGTAGGTAGTTAAACATCCTTATATAAAATGAAATTTTACATACGCCATTAGACCTCTGTTCGGCACTTTATTATCGCTGTGCTTACAAAAAAATTTAAAAAATAAAAAAGCAGCTCACCCTTACCCACACGGTGTACGTCTTATTTTCTTTTATATCTTTCTCCCCCGTCATTTCCGGTTTTCAAAGGGACCAATATGTAAAAAAAAAATAAATCGAATCAACGTGTGCGCTAATACAGCCCGTGAAAGTGTACGATATTTACACGTAAACAAAAAAAATCACATGGACCCGGGTAACATTTACAATAATTATCGATCGTCGTTAATATTTATATTTTTGTGTGTTTACGGGAAAATTCAGTTAGTATTCACGATAATAACAATAATAATAATAACGTTATGCAAAACAAAAATATCTACAACACACGGGTGCACAAGCCATTTTGCATATATTTATAAAACGCTC